GGTTGACCATCACTTCGTGTGTTTGTTTCAGGACCCTTTGCGCTCGCCAACAGCCATTCACCAGCACTGCTCCATTTTTTCTGCTTCAGAGTTGCTCGTCGTTGCCTTCAGCTGGACTCGATCCGTCTTACCTTGTGCCTGCCTCCAGAGTGATTTCACCGAGTATGCGGTCACTTAAACCGCTCGGCTATTTAAGTTATTGATGATAAAAGTTATTTTTATTCCTATATTGTATTAATATTGAATTTTAATAAAGAATATGTATCATACACATCTCTCTTATTCATCATCTGCCTCTACCCCTCTCTTTCCCCAGTTCTTCCTCTATTTTTTTTTTCTCTTTATGTATCTCTCTTACAGTCAAGTGCGAAACTTGAGTTTTTTGTTTTTCAGAAATATTCTAAGTGTCAAGGTCGAAATGCGACACCTGAATTTAATATTTTGAACTAATATTTGATAATTACGAAAAACTAGACATTCGATTTTTCAAGCCTATTTGAGGATTTGAACCATCAAACATTGAGTAACCGTAGTGGTAACTTTACGATCTCGGCCAATTCGTTATACAGAACATCTCCCATACTGTATTAATATTGGATTAATATTGCATTTGAATAAAGCATATGTCTCATACACATCTCTCTTATTCATCATCTGCCTCTACCCTTCTCTTTCCCCCGTTCATCATCAACCTTTGTCATCTCTCTTTTTGTATCTCTCTTTTACAGTCAAGTGCGAACCTTGAGTTTTTCAGAAATAAGTGTCAAGGTCGAAATGCGCCACCTGAATTTAATATTTTGAACTAATATTTGATAATTATGAAAAACTATACATTCGATTTTTCAAGCATCTTCGGGATTTGAACCGAGAAACAAATGACTACCGCAGTGGTCACTTAACGATCTCGGCCAATTGGTTACACAAAACCGTAGTCTTTTGTAAAAATATAAAGTGTTATTTTTTTTGAAAGAGATAAGTTTCCTAAATATATTGTATGCCGAATGTGCGAATGGCCGAGGTCGTAAAGATACGGTTTAGGCCAGAATATCAATTCCAAGTTCGCCAGTTCGAACCCCATTTGACTGAAAAAAATATTTGGAGCCAATAATTTTTCAAACTGTGTAAATAAATAAGACATATAGATAGAATTAAATTTATTGAGTATCAGTATTACAAAAATCTACATAATATATATATATATATATATATATATATATATAAATATAAATATATACGCATATATATATATATATATATATACACGCATATATATATACGCGTATATATATATATATATATATATATATATATATATATATAAGATAAGAAAAAGTAGGAGGATAATTTTTAATAAATTCATATTTACGCCTGGTTAGCAGTAAACCAAACCTACTTTGGTGTAATTTAAAAATCTTATTATTTTTCCGATAAAAAGACAGTCTATCAGGAGCAGCCAAAATTGGCCAAAATCGTGACTTTCAAATGCAATTTTAAGGCACTTAATGAATGAAATTAATAATTTTAATTAATGCTTTGTATAGACTAAAGCACAATCTTTATACCAAACCAAAAAAAATACTAATTTATCATCGTCTTCATAGTTAAAATCAGCTTCAAAGTTGGCAATTTTTCAAACTTCAATTTGGTACCAAGGGCAGAAGAATTTTTTTTTCCAAAAACTGATTTCATATTCGGAATCAGCGCCTCTAAAACTATCAGAATCGGTCAAAACATTTTGAAAATCGCGAAAAAAAATTTAATTTCATTAGTAAAATTTTGGTTTTGCTACCAACGATTTCGATTTTTCGCAGCGGTATGTGGATTTATCCAAAAACGGATAATATTTTCGAAATCAGCGTCCCAAAATCAATCAAAACCAATCAAAACATTTTGAAAATCGCGAAGAAAAGCCGATTTTTTAAAAAAAGAAATCGATTTTGCAACCAAAGATTTCGATTTTTTGCGGGGTGTGCGTGGGTTTATCCAAAATAGATAGCATTTCTGAAATCAGCGTCCGAAAATCTTTTGGAATCAGTCAAAATATTTCCGAAATAGCGAAAACAAATCTATTTTTTTGCTAAAAATTCCGATGTTGCAACCAAAGTTTTTGTTGTTTTCCAGTGGTACACGCCCTGAAAGCTCATCAAACAGGATAATTTGGTCCTTTTCATCAAAAACACTTTGTCCAACTAGTTGTTGATTATATTTTTCCACTACTATAGGGAAGACCCAGGATTTATGGTTCCTTTTAAGGCAATCTTATAAGTCTTAAGCACCTGTAATAAAAATTAAAAATTATTCTAAGGATAGGTTTTAACTTGATATTATTCAAATTAAGTAAAATGGGCTATTCATGATTTTTTTTAAAACTCATTTACTCAATTTGAATATAATAAATATCAAGTTCAAATCATTGACTATTATGAAAGTTTTTTACGTTTTATTTTTATAAAATATTCAAAGATATCTATCCACAGATTTTTGAATAAAGTTTTTGCCGTTTTACTTTTATGAAATATGCAAAGATATCACGGGTTTTTAATACTCTTTTTAAACACATTTCACTCAATTTGAATATAATAAATATCAAAAACCTTGTTCGTGCTATTCATGCTTATTATTATACGGATAATTATTATTACAATTACACAAGGAACTTGTTCAACCATGTCTCAGACAACACAGACTGTTGGTTTATTAACTTCCCGAAGGAGAAGTTTATGTTTTCATCAAAAAATCTGATTCGCTAATTTTATGTTTTCTCGACGTTTCAAGCCATTCTGAATCGAATGAGACCAAATTTGGAAAAAGTATGTGTGTGTCTGTGTAAACAGATTTTTTGGCGTAAATCGACGTTTTCTCAAAAATGGCTGGACCGATTTCAAAAATTTAAAAGCCATTCGATGTATCTCGATGAGGACTAGCGTTTATCAATTTTGCGCGACGATCAGCCAAGCCGTTTCTTTGTAAATAGCCGGAAATGTAAAAAAATTTTCGTCCACGTTTTAGCCCGCAGTTCTGAATCGATCTTGAAAATTCAAAAACCGTTCGAAAGATATTGATTGGGAATCGTGCTGATTAGTTGTTGGTAGTGATCGGCCGGGCCGTTTTCTTGTAATGAAGTGTTAAAATTTGTGTTCACCATGAGAATTCACGGCGTATTCACTGATGTTTTTATAGACTTGCCCGTTCCCTATTGGTATATTGGTATGATTGGTATGCATAGATAAAAGAAGAGTATGTTGATATGATTGGGCATTTGGATGATCAGTTTGTAATTGAAAGTTGCAAATTAAATTTTATTGTGGCAGTTATCATTTTATTAGTTCATGAGATAATTTCTTTCCAATAATTCAATTCATTGTACTGTGGCAACCATGTCGCTACATTTTAGGTGAGTATTCAAATATAGTAGTTTTAATAATATATATAGTAAATAAATGTGACCCAGATTATGTACAGAATGGCAATTCATATAGGGTAATTATTGTGTACTATTTTAGATAAAATAATAATTATGTACTTGTATACTCTCTTATCTAACCATATAAACTATCTTATACCGATCTATAATTTTTCACTCACCCGCGAGCACATATTAAGCATATGGATTTGGGACATCCACAGAAATGTATAAACATTTATAAATATACCTATAGATATCTATAAAAGTTCATATAAATTTATGAATATATAAACATATACAGAAATCTATAAACATAATCAGAAAATTTTAATTGTTCAAAAAGATTCAAGTCAAATGCTTTATTCAGCTAAACGAGAAGTTACTGAATAATATTAATTGATTCAAACTTTATTCTCAGTCATTGACGATAACATATAACAACATTCTGTAGTGTGAGTTATAATAAGATATTAATCTATTCGACAATATTTACAAAGGATATTGAACTTATGCCCATTTCAATCTATTATTGTGCTTACTTATTAAATCCGTGAATAAGAATTTTTAGCAGCAAATTTAGGAATTAGGTCCGCGAACAAAAAGCTTTTACTGTAAATGATTGCAGTTTAATAAAACATAATTTATTTTAGATACTATATTTCTATAAATTTATTTATAGTTTGTCATTTTTCATTATTCTATGGCAAAATTTCATACGTTCTTAGACGTTGACAAAATAATTTAAAATAACAATAAATAAATTATTTTAACGCTAATGATCAGTCTGATCTTAAAAGTCAGGTAATTATAAATATAATATATATATATATTAGGGTGGTCCTTAAAATGGTCATTTTCGAATTTCCTTGCTCCCAGGGGCCTAAATGGTTCCAAATAGATAAAAAACAATTCTCTGAAAGTTTTAGCTCCTAATATTAACGTTTAGATAGAGCGCAATTCAATCAAAGTTTGTATGGAAAGAGCATGGAAAAAATTTTAAAAATCAAAAAAAAATGTTTTAGGTATAAGTTAGCGACAAATGAATGAGTTTTATTTATTCATTTGTTCGTTAAATTACATCTAAAAAACATTTTTAAAATTTTTGATAATTTTTCCATGCTATTTCCATACAAAACTTTGATTGAATTGCGCTCTATCTAAACGTTAATATTAAGAGCTAAAACTTTCAGAGAATTGTTTTTGATCTATTTGGAACCATTTGAGCCCCTGGGAGCAAGGAAATTCGAAAATGACCGTTTTAAGGACCACCCTAATATATATATATATATATATATATATATATTGTTTTTTTTATAATAATTATAAATAATTAATACTATTTTGTTTTTGAATCACAATCAAAATATTTCAATTTAAGATTGATGTAACTTGATTTTAATACTTAAATACAAATCTTATGCTTTACAAAGATTCTTTGGCAATGTGCTATGTAAGAAAAAAAAAACTTTAACCACAGAGTGTTGATATTTAAAGAAATTAACCCCATATTGCTTTCTGTAAGAAAAAATAAGTATATATTTGAAATAAAAAATCTGCTTTTATGAATCAGAATGCCTTTCAAGCTCTTTTTTATTTATTTGCCATTGGAAATGGCTCGACGACTATGGGTTTCCATATGTTTCTAAAAAAAAAATCATTCTAATTATTTATCATTTAGTTATTGAATGTAGTATCATATAAAGTCAAAGTACCTTCATTGAATAAGAGCTTGTGAAAGTTTTTTGACATACAGTACATGTTAATAAACCTGAAATTTATTGTAATTAAACTAGTGGTTTTCTGCAATTATTATATATACCAGACATAATTATAACAAATTTTACCTTCCCCCGTGTGAATTCTTATGTGGTATTTTAACTTTTGCTTTTTCGAAAACGTTCGATTACAATAAGGGCAAGCACAAACTTCCTCTCGCGTATGAACTCTTAAATTTAACAGTAATAACATAATATATTTTCTTATTAGTATGATATAATAAAAATTATTTATTTTATTACCTTTCATGAGAGCTACAAGCACTTTTGTCTGCAAAACCTCTATAACAATATTGACAAAAATATGGCTTGATGCCAGAATGAATACGTTTATGACGAACTAGATTCGATCTCTGTACAAACTCCCTTCCACATTGATCACATCTATGACGTGGTCCATTATGTATCAGCATATGTTCTATGTATGAATCCCTTCGCTGCATTTTAATAATGATTAATAATTTGTTCATACACATTTATTATATAAATATCATAAAACTTCTAGTTAGTTATTATTTAAACAGAAGATGTTTAAATAATAACTTTTCTAACTTTAAACATAAATTTAAAATAGAGAAGACATGCATATAAAATAATATACATACTGAAAATGATTTTTGACAATGCGGGCAAATCAGATTTAAATCACTATGTGTTTGCCTGTGGCTACTTAATCCAGATTTGCTTCGGAAACCTTTGTTACAATATTGGCAAAAGAATGTTGCTACACCTGGATGAAATGCTTCCATATGCTCTTTTCTGAAACATTAGTATCTATATGTATTTTCTATAAAAAAAATCTGTATATATTTATATATTCATATAACTTATAGAATAATAAAAAATTAATTTTATACACAAGTTCTAGAAATCCTTGAATAATAATTGAGTTCAATAATTGAATCCAAACCTTTTCTCATCGGTTTCGAACCGTTCATCACAAACTCGACATTTAAATCCTGTTTTTATACTATTCAAATGCTTCATTTTTACATGCAACTGTTTACAGCGAAGGTTTTTAAAGAATTTCCCACATATTTCACAATTCTGAGGTTGAGAAGATTTCTGAGTGAGATGTAAATTCTGTGGAGAAAAAAGCAAATATAATTCTCATGCACAGAAATCATTAAATTATTGTATTAAAATATATTGAATTAATAATATTAACTGAGTTCAACTTAAAATTTACTTTCTAGCATATAAGCTATTTATGATAAAATTATAAAAAAATTCAACAATATTAATGCTTACTTTAAAATGATTTTTGAGAACTTTTTTACTACTACATTTGGTGCGGCATGTAGAAAAACTGCAATACAGTGATTTGGAACCTGGGTGGTCATCCTTGAAATGTTTTCGAATCTGATTCAAATTGGGATAAAGCATATGACAATGCATACATTTGTAAGAAGTACTTGTAAATTCCTCCTTAGATTCGTGTTCAACTTGCACATGTCTTTTCAAACAAGTCTAAAATGTGATTGAGATGTTTAATATCAATTAAATTATTCAATTATCAACATTACATATTACCTTACTGCTAAATATAGTTGTACATAAATAACACTTCATAAATTTTATAGATTCATCCAAGGATAAATGCTTTTCAATTTGATGCACATTTCGATTTTCTATTGTCCAAAACAAATCATTACAAAAATAGCATTTATAACCAATATCTGAACTATCACAGATTTCTGAGATCCAAAAATCATGGGAGCGTATATGTTTTCGAGCTAACATTTTAGAACGAGTCTCTGTCTTACATATCAAACATAAATATAATGGATTTTTATATTTTTTCACTACTGTTACATATTTTGAATTTAGTCTTACTGCTTTATCGGAAACAGATTCATTATTATTGCTGCATTTAAAACCATGCAATCTCTCTAAATGTTTTATATATTTATCTTTTTTATCAAAATTACTAAGGCATACTTCACATTTTATGCAGAGAGATTTCAGCACAATTGAACTATTGCTTTCTGACAAAGTATTTGTTTTATTTCTACAATCATGCTTGTCTATATTTTGGCTTTCTTTGTTATTTAAAGTTTCATTATCAGACATAGCATCATCACTAGTATCAGAAAATATACATTGGACCTCAGAAAAATTTATGTCATTATAACCATCTATTTTATAATCAACAACATCGCTAATCATATCAAAATTAGATTGAAATGATTTTTCAGATATGTTTTCATTTATTTCATTTTCATCTGTCTGGTCTTCTTTCATCGGACTATCAGAAACTGCTTTCTCGTCGCATAAGCAATTTTTTTCTTTTTGTTCTAGACTTTTGGGACAGCCTTCATTATTTGGTGTTTCAATCTCTACATCATTTGCTTCTAATTTTATATTTTCAATTTGACAAACAGTCTGATTGAATTCCATTGAAGGATTTTGTATTAATAAATTGCCAATACTATTCAAACTTAATTTATGATAAGATAAATAATGATAAATTACTTTTTCCAAGTTGTCCATTAAACTAGTTAATATATCACCACATAAACTACAAGTAACTTCTTCATTAATAATTGTAAATAAAGTATTTTCAAAATAGTCAGATATTATAGTTTTAAAATTATGATTAAGTTTCAAATGTTCATATAACCATTTCTCAACACTAGATATATGTATTCCACAATATTTACAAACAACAAGACCATGAATATCAATACAATGGTTGTTCAGGTTGTTTTTAGTTAAATTCATATTAGTGCATCCAAATGGACAATAAATAAAATGTTCAGTTCCTAAATGATTTTCTCTTTCGTGAATGCTATCAAATGAAGAATTACATTTACTGCAATGAAAATTTCCTGAACAATAAATGTCATGAAATTCTCTTGGGGCTTTGAAACTGTACAGATGACCACAAAATTTACATGTATTATCAGTAGAAACTTTACAACTATCAACAACAGCATCACAATTTGGAATTATCTTTGAAATTTGGGTTCCATGGTAATCTAATTTATTCTTTATGTATTCCTTTATACCCATTTTATTAATGATATTTAATAAAATATAATTTTTTATGTTATGTTCATCTTTGTAATGCATATAAAAAAATATTACTGGCAAATGTTTATCGCACAACTTGCATAGGAACTGATTTTCGTTTTTTGGGTCCAATATTAAATGTGGAGTATTCTCATTATCCTTACAAATGGCTGTTATTTTATGTTTTTGAGATAAATGCTCCAAATATATTTCTTTCGGGTATATTTTTTCTGTACAAAAATCACAAATCTTACAACCATGTACATTTAAAATATGGTGATTTAGTACTTTGTAGCTTAAGAAGCATTCGTTACACCAAATACATATCAAGGGATAGTGTTCAAGGATTTCATGATTCTTTCTTTCATTTATATTTTCGTACAAATTATGGCAAAATTTGCAACTAGAAAAATTATGATAGACGATTTTGTGATAACTTATTTCCTCATCATTGCTAAAGTCTTCCTGGCATAAGTCACATAATATTTCTAAATCCTTTAACGAATTAGTACTGGACATTCTATAATAGAATGAAATATGATTTTTAATAAACTAATATATTTGATAATTTATTTATATGAATAACTCATACATTAATTTAAGCGATATTTTTTAAATATAAAATATCGTAAAACCGATATTTATATACAGAATATAGTATTTACATGGTACTATATCAAACACAGCATCAATTTTCTGCGTTCACTTAATATTTCACACAAGCATTTTTTAATCAGTTTTTATTAATGGTATGAGGGCATATTAAAAAATTCAACGCAACTATGTCAAATGTCTGAAATGTCAAATGTCGTCCATTGAACACTTTGACAAACTTGGCAACAACATCTGTTTCTAATTTTCGAATAGTAAGGGCGCGTCGGCACCATTTATTTATTTTACTATATAAACGAACTTGGATATAAAGATTTTAATATTATGTTTTCGATTTTGAATGAAATATGAATATCATTTACGCTTTAACTACTAAATATACTACTAAATGTGTGTGTATGTATGTATGGATACAAATTTCCAGTCACGTTTTCGGGCGCACGGATCAACCGATTTGAATATTTCAAAAAACATTTGATTCCTATCGATAGGGAAAAGAGCTGATTAGTTTTTGGCAAAAGCAGGTCCAGCCGTTTCGGGGATACGGAGCAAAGAGTGCAGAAAATAGAAATTGAATTTTGAGAGAACGGAGTATCCGAATTGAATGATCTAAAAAACATTCAATTAGTAATGATTGGAAGAAGTGTCTATTAGTTTTTGGCAAAGGCAAGCCCAGCCATTTCGAAGATACGGAGCTAAATATGTAAAAAAATGGCAGTTTTTGAGAGAATTAAGCGTCTGATTTGAATGATTCAAAAAACTTTCTGCTTGTCTTAATAAAATAATTGATTTTGGAAAAAAAAAATTTTGTTTCAATTTTTTTTTTTAATTTTTTGTATATCGAAAATAATTTAGATTTTATTTTTAATTCTGACTATAGTTCTAATATACTTTAAACAAATAATTTCAACTTTGCAATTCAGTTTATATAATTCTTATAAATATTAGACAATGTTACAATATTTATAATAATCTATTTGAAAACATTCAGTATTCCTCGAACATTTCGTTACGGTACGGAAAGTTCCAGCAATTTGCCTTAAGGCACGATGCCACCCACCCCACTAGTTTATTATTTTATTCGTTTATGAGAAAGTATCCTGTTTCGATAATTATATGTTTTTGACAACAAATATTTTATGAACATAATTTAATTATTATAATAATACTATTCATTATATTCTTATTATAATAATCAGAAAACATATTATTAAATATGAAGAAACATTGGAAAAATATCATTTTACAGCTATTTACGTTCACATTGATAATAATTTTTAAATCTGTTTACTTTGCAAGTTAATTCTTAACTTCCCGTGGAGTAGTTATAGTAATCGCAAAAATTGCAAATGAAAAATTTTATATATCTTAAGGTAAATTTACGTTTCAGAGGTTTCTGAATATTTTGGCATACCTTAGAAAAAATGAAAGTATGTGTGTGCGTGTGTATGTGTGTTCGGATACAAATTTTTGTCGACGATTTCGGGAACACCGATGAAGCGATTTGAATAATTCAAAAAACATTCGATTCGTATTAATGAGGAGATGTGCTGATTAGTTTTTGGCGAAGGCAGGTATAGCCGTTCCGCAGATATGAGGCAAAAAGTGCCAAAAACGGTAACTCAGTTTTTAAGAGAACGGAGTGTCCGGTTTGAATTATTCAAAAAACATTTTACTTGTATTAATAAGATGAAGAACTGATCAAATTTTCCTGAAAGCAGGTTTAGCGGTTCGGAGATCTAGTAAAAAAAGTAAAAAAGCCATCTGGCGGTCAAAAATGATCATTAGACATATGCACATCAAATTATCAGATATTTTTTATAGAGATTTTAACAATAAGTATGAATTTTGTTTACATTCCTATGGGTTCCGTATCAATGCTTATTCGTTAGACGGCGGCGCGGCGCTTACGCGCTTCGATATTTCGTCTCTATGCAGTTAAAGCAGTACGATTGCTTTGAAAAAAAGCTTTTCTTCAGAGTCTTTTTTTCAAAAAAAAGTAAATTTTTGTCAAAAATTTATAGTTTCTCAAAAATCTAATTTTTTCAAAGTAAATTGTTTTCAAAAATGTTAATCTTTAAAAAAAAAATAATTTTTGGTACGGGAAGTTTCAGCAATTTGCCTCAAGGCACGATGCCATGCGCCCCACTAGTTTATCATTATGATTTCATAAATTATTTACTAATATGGATATTTAAAGTAATTCATAAATATAGTGTAAATGATATACAATACAATTTACATTGCCCGATTGAGTCATTGGCTCCCCCACCATCATTTTCTAGTCAATCTAGCAACTACTTCACTGTGTGCATATGCTGTTTCTGTTTTCCAAAATACGTAGTAAATTAGTAATTTTATAATATTTCAGCAGTTTTTCAAAATTTGTGTATCTTTATGTTAATTTCTAATCTAATTCCGGTAATTTGTGCTCTATATAAATAAATTTCATAAAGTTTACATGTGAGTGCAGAAATTATGAAGTGATACGAAGCTTCTGCCCGACGAATGTGACATTTGAAAACTATTCGATTAATAAAAATATATTTGTTGTGGAAAGAAATGAGAAAACCATAAGGGTTTAATACACATATATGTGAATATTTCAATTACATGTGAATTTATATTTACGAATATAATTTTTAATAAAATGAGTGCGCAGCAAAGCCCCACTAATTTGCAGACGTCCATTGATCGCGACAAGGTAATGAGCATTTGTACCATATTTTATTAAAATTTAAAATCTAAATCAGTATATATTTTATTA